GAAAGGTGAATAGAAACATGTAGGAAAAAGACAGTGAATTCAATTCTACAAATACTGTGTTTGGGGCAGCTGGGAGACCACAGGAGATATTCATTAGCAGGTGGTTAAAAATGTCTACCTAGACTCAGGAGAAAAGTTTAGAGTGGTAATACAGATTTCTGCCCATCAACTAATACATTGAGAACCTACTGTGTGTCAGTTACATCATCGTTATTTCTAACTAGGCAGATAAAGAAGGATTTAAGGAGAGCAAATAAAGAGATGAAAAAGGGAGACAAAGGGAGAGAGAAACTGAGATAAAGAAAGAAGGAAAGCGGGAAAGGAAAAGAAGGCAGATTATTAAAGAAAGGGAAAGATAAACATGGCAGTCAGTCCCATGCACGGGGGAGAAGAAACGTGAATATCAGAGTGGGAGAGTAGTTTTCATGTAATTACTTTTTCTCTGTGCCGCTTATATTGCAAACTCAAGTTTGAGCAAGTAAAATATCCTCTCTCATATCCCCACCATAATGATATGTGTATGACTTGTTTTTAAATACTTGAGTTTTAATAAAGAAGGAAAAGGAAGACGTCAGAAAAAGCCTGAGTAGACTTTGAAAACGTTTCCTAACTACACCTATAAACTAATAGCTGAGTTAGTTTATAAAAGTAAACCTAAAGGAACTGGGATTATCGGTTTGTAATCCTGGGACAGGGAGAGCCTGACGTAAGAGAAATCCCTGCTCTGTGATCAAAGGGGACGTTTGACTACATAAGACTTTAAAGCTTCCATAGGTAAGCTATGAACAGTTGAAAAACAAAAGTGATGCAACAGAATGCATGCAGAACCTGTACACTGAAAACCACTAAATACTGAATATGCCATGTTAATGGATTGGAACACTCAATATTGATAAAGTTTAATTTTCCTCCAAACAATTGTTAGAGAAAATTCAGTCCCAATTAGAATCGCTGAATTTTTCATAGAAATTGGCAAAATGATTCCGAAATGTATATGGAAGTACAAAGGACCCAAACAATCCTAAACACTCCTGAGTAATTTGGAAGACTTATCACTACCAGACTCCAAGTCTTCGTTCCACAGTCCAGGCAGCGTCGTAGACACAGGGGCAACAGATGGACCAACACGACCCAACAGCCCAGAAACGGACCCAAAGTGCGCAGTCATTGATTTTTAATAAAAGTCCCAAATAACCCAGTAGGCAAGGGAACTTCAGCACAGTGACTGGGACTACTGGATATTCATGTCAGTAAGGTAATCTTTGACCTTTACAAGGGTAGGCCCCTTGTAGTACAGGCGTCCCCTGCTTGGTGAGTGTTCTAGAAGCCCATCTGTATCAGTGGACCAGCTGGCATTGTCCCGAGAGGCTGCCTTGGGCTTTAGTGAAGTTTTTTGGATGACTCTTTGGGGTATGTTTGCCAATTTCATGGTGGGTGATACAGGAGCGCATCTGCCCACTGCACTGAGTATTGTGCAGTTTTTGACCAAAAACAGCAAGACCCCACTGCCTCCACCCTTTCTATTGACCCAGTCTCACCCCTAGCGATGTGTTTTTGTTTCCCTGGATGAAAAAAGTCCTCAACGGGAAACATTTTGCTGATGTGGAAGAGGTGAAACAAAAAATGGCAGGAGTACTAGAAGGCATCAAATCAACAAGTTCAAAAACTGTGTTGAGCAGTGGGAAAAAAGTCTCAGCTGGTGTACTGCATCAAAGGGAGAGTGCTTGGAAGGTAACTGAAGTTTAAACATGTAAGAATACATACACAATTTTTTATAAATAAAAAATACTCTCTGATGCAGAAGACCAGCCTGAGCCCTTATTTATGTGTGGAATGTGCTGAGCTGTGTTTAAAGTCAAGTTCAGATGTTGATGTTGTTGCAGAGTAACACTCCTTTTGTTATCTTAAGATTTAAAAAAGTATAACATTTTCAAAATGGACATGTTTTAAGCAACTTTCAGCCAAAGAAGTGAAAGTAACTATTAGTATATTATTAGTGCCAATGTTAAAATGTTTGTGATGAATTCAATACATCTCTGAAGGTGTTTATGAATAAATGTTTTAAGTATATACCCTTTTGAGAAAATTCTAAAAAGGAAGTTTGTTTAGAAAAGCAAGAAGATGGAAAATGTATTGGTGTGACATCCTAAGCGTATCTGAAACATTTTAAGATTTATATATTTACTTAATAAAAACCTGTGGAGTTGCAAACATCCCTTTGGTTTGAATATGCATTTCAGCAGGTCTATTTTCTAGGTGAAAATATTTCAGTAAAGCTGTATATTCTTTCTGTCTCGTCTATGAAAATAGAAGTACAAACTCTTGTGTTGTAAGCCATCGTTCTTACACAAAGAGGAAATATTGTGAACTTCATTTTCATAGCATATGGGGTAGGAAAATACATATTTTAAAATTCTCAAAATGAGGCATAGCTTTAATTAAGAAGGAAATCTGAATTTGGGAAAATGTGGGGTGATAAAGTATTATGGTTTATAAATTAGGAAGCTGTTGACTAATTTTAAGTATTAAACAGATGGAATATATATTTAAAAGAAGAAGAAAACTCATCTCCCAACATAATATTTGAAGGTGGAGATAATTTATAAATAAAAAGGAAATTGCCTAGCTTTATGTGTAGATGGGAAAATGTGATGATGGAATGAGTCAGACACCACCACTGGATTTCAAATACAGTAGATTTGAAAACATCAGAGTAGCTCCATGTCTGTATGTGCTGCAACAACAGTGATGAGTATAATTTTCAGTTTCAAACAAAGGCATATTTGTTCTCATAGAATTGGTTAAAGGAGATTTCATTTCACAGTGAATTCTTACTAGCCAAGGGCTTTGATTCAGGATGAAGTTAAACTTGTCTTGTAGCAACACTGATATAATGTTCATGATATTGAGAATTTAGCCTTTCACTTTTATGTTCTATCTAGGAAGGAAATACATGAAACGTACTGTTCTTTGCTTATAAACTTTCGCAAGATTTACCCAGTTCAGTGGACAAAAACAGTTTCAATACTGCAGCGTCCTTGTTTTGGAGTTTGGGTGAGATGAGGAATGTTCTTTCTGCTTAAAAATAAGTGTTCCAGGGCCTGTTTTTTAACTGTGGAGAGAATGTGAATTTTCTTCCTTTTGATTTTCCTCCTCCAACATATTCTTAAAACCGAATATGTCATTTTCATGTAGTCAGAGCACTTGTCCTCTGGACTTTGTTGAATCAGTGTCCCAGATTCATGCTTTATTACTGCCCACATTGGTGGTGTTGAGCACATATGCATTTATCTTCACTGAAGATCTTCATCTGTACAAGCTGTCATTCCTCTCTTACCAAGTTTTGCCACGGCTTTGGGGATAGTAAAAGGGAGGGATTTTATTTCACTTAATGCTCAGGGTTTTATGATCCTGTCCTATATCTGTTACTGATTTATAGATGGCATAGCTTATAAATAAATGTCATCTTTTTCAAAAATGTGTATAAATAACGTGAGTTATATTTTACCACTTGAGGTAAAAATGTTAACTTCGAATGATAAAATTAATACATCTTTGGTCTTTGATCTTTTCATTTCAAGAATGGCTTTTTTCCCTTCCTCTACCTACTACCTTATCCTTGAAAATGTAACATCCAGTATTCTTACAGACGTTTTCTATGCGTGTGAAACTCTGCATCTCTCCCTTCACTCACTTCTCGACCCGCTCTCACCTGATTTCTGCTCACACTCCTTCGCTGAAACTGCTGTAGCCAGGCCACCAGGTGTCTGCAGCCCGTTACAGTGGACGGCGCTAGTCTTCGCTGTCCCCGAGGTGGTCAATACTGTTACCCACTTCGTTCTTAAACAGGCACCAGTGGCACTATATTAGCTGGTTTGCCCCCCTCTCTCTCTGATAACACCCCGTCCTCCTCTATAGACTTATCTTTCTCTGCCCTCTTTTAAGTGCTGCTACCCCTTAGAGTCTCTTTGCGTCTCATGATACTGCTTTACCTAGAATTTGGCATTCATTGCCTCAGCTATACTCTGCTGAGGATTCCAAGACTCCTTGGCCTCAGAGCTGTATATCCACCTGTGTTCTGGACATCTTCCCATGATGCTTGTAGCCTGCAGGTGATACAAACCTGCTTCAGGCTTAAGAGGGAAAACTGTTGCTTCACAAAACCAAACATCAGGTGTCCAGGTTGAACTGGCCTTAGGGGTAACTGGAGCCAGGTGGCGTCCTCTCTCGCTGCTGCTTGTCAGCAGCGTGATCTCAGCACCACCTTCGGCATGAAATGTGGAACATGGCTCGCTACGGTCAACCTTCAAGTCTGTAGCTTGTCAGTCAGGAAGAAAAGATAGGCTTGCTCGCCTACTCCAGATTAAGATTGCCTGGCGTGGATTCTGACTGACACAGCATGGCTGGCCACCTTGGGGTGTACATTCATTCTGGTGGCGGCGGGGGGAGGGACCTAATGTCTCAATTCAGAATGAAGCCTCACTGAACCATCATTCGTCTTTCTTGTACAGTTCTAACTTCAGTGGAGAAGGTGACAATTTGGTTTATAATTATTGATGAGTATAGCTGCTTGAATATTTAAAAAGAGTTGATTGCTATGCCAGTTACTGTCTAGGTTGTCTATGAGAGCAAAGGACTCATGAAACCTATATGAAAATGATCATTATTTCTTTTTTGGAATTAGAAACTATTTGATAATCATAATGTTTGAATTAGTGATTTAAAGATATTAGAGTAATTTATGCTTTTATGGTCATAAAATAAATGCTCTTTGAAGGTAAGGATTTCAGTTGTCTTTCACTGCTGTATCCTCAACACCTGATACCCAAAAAAGGCTTGAAAAAATTTGTTCAATGAGTATCAGTTTATTAAAAATCACAATTTTTTTCAGTGTTTACTTTTTGAGGGAAATTTATTCATTTTATCACAGGTTTAAGAAATAAAAGCTTCTGAGGATGAGTAAAGTAACTTATTTTCTTTTACTCTTTTTCTTTCCCTAGACCTGAGTCAAGACAACATTTATACCTTCCTGGTGGTTCAGAAACGAGTCTCTGTAGAACCATAAGCAGAGAAAGGAAACATTTTGCCTTTTTCTTAATGAAATTGACTGTGTAAGATACTTGACTTAAGGAACAAAAACACAGAGAAGTAATAAAATTATTATTTTGACATCATTGGACATCCATCATACTGAGGAGTGTGCTTTGGGAAGCTGCCCGAGTGGAGATTTGGAAACTACCTTGGTGCTCATTTATACTTTGGACTATAAGCATGAGTGAATTCTGGTTGTGTTTCAACTGCTGTATTGCAGAGCAACCTCAGCCTGTAAGTATGAAGGAACGCGCGCACAGACCGGGTGGGGTGCTCAGGCTGAGAGTCCGGACCCTGGCAGTAAGGGCAGGGCAGTTCTGAGGACTGTCACAGAGGTTAAGTAGTTCAGTGGAACTCTGAGCATCGGGTTTTAAAAAAAGGAAGAAAAAAAGTCATGTCTTTTGAGTAAATACTACGTGTCAAGAGCTGGGCTAGACCATTGTACACAGCTGAGGAGGTGGTGCTTGTCTCCCGTGTAGATGCCTCCGGAGGAGTGGGAGGGCGAGCCCGCGCCTGAGGTCCGGGCGCCTGAGGTCCGGCAGCACAGCCGCAAGGCCAGCCCGACCTCGGGGGTGGGGAGCGTGACGGCCAGACCCGGCCGTGCTCGCACTCTTCCACTCACCGTCTCGTGTTCCTCACACCAGCCGATGAAGATTTCATGATCCTTATTTCTCAGTTGGAAGAGATGCAGTTTTTTGCCCTAAGTCAAATTAGAGAGTAAATGGTCTTGGCTGACTTCCTTTTGGTACGTCACTTTTTTTGTGCCTTCTAAATGATGCATATTGTTACCACTATCAAAATCCTGCCCTCCAACCTCTGGTTTTCTGTTTGTCCAGATCAAAAGTCACCTCTACAAACTCTTTCCCAGCTATCTCCTGATTTAGCCAATACACATCTGTATTTCCACCTGCTCTTCACTTCCTTTTTCTATTCTATTGATAGCACAGAACTTCTTGCATAGGAAACAATTGTCCTCCAGTCTCTCCCACCCTGTTTTTTAATCCTTTAGGGGCTCTGACCATATTTACTTTGTATCTAAAGGATCAAATCTAATACCTTGGAGAATCTTTTATATGCTGGCTGGCTGAATAAGTGAGTTCACATTTTATTGTTTTGTTTGTAACAACATGAAAGGGTGAGTGAGGTATAATCTTAAGATCTTTTGCTTTTCCATGGGCATGTACGGTCACTTTCTGATTTTCTGCATATATGCAGTTGTTTTTGAATGTCCTACTCTGTTATGTCTACCTCCCAAAAGGGGAGAAAAGGAAGGGTTGGGGGGGGGAGGAGGAGAATGGTGCTGATTTTTAAACGCCCCGGAAGTCGCTGCAGCCAGGTGCTTGTGGCATCATGGGAAGGTGTACCAGCAGTGGCCAGTGGCTGCCTGTCTCTCTGCCCCTCTGTGATCAGAAACAGAGTTATATGGAGGACGGGGTCCTTTCTGCCCACTCTGGCTCCCGTAATTGGTGTGCAGGCTGCTCTAGGAACCCAGCAAGGGGTGGCCGACGGGGGACTGCTGCTGTGCGAAGGGGCCGGCGTGGGCTGACATCCGCCGCGGTCTGCAGTCTGCCTGCCCGGCCACCCCTGGAAGCCGGCAGCCTTGAGCAGACCCAGGAGTTCTAAAAGCAGTTCCGCCAGGATGACTCTGCCGCTGCAGTTCTTGGGGAGCAGACACATGTGCCTGGTGCTACTTTTCCACCATCTTTCCATTTACCACTCTTACAGTTTTGGTTTTTACATTTAACTCTGATGCATGAAGTATGGAAGATTGGTTGATTTGTGTGGTGTGAGGTAGGGGTTTCTCTATACTTTCATGCTAATCAGCTATTTAAAGACAGTTCATTACATAGCCAGTCTTTATTAGTGATATGAAATGTCGCTTTTTATTATATACAATGCTTTCACATATTTAAGTCCATTTCTGAAATCTATTTTATTCTTTTTGTATGTGTGTTTACATCTTTGCCACTACTATTCTATTTTAATTGCTGCCATTACTTAGTGTATTTTGCTGTTTCATAGGAAAAAAATCTCTTTCATAGATCTTCTTTTTCAACTCTTGGTAATGTCTTATTTTTTAAACTGGATTGTTATATGGGTCCTTATTATTTAAGGTTTTCTTTGTAGGAGATCCTTCATAATGCATATTTTTATGGGTGTTTATTTTAGGATTGCTTAAATTTAGAGTGTAATTGGATGAGAATTTGACATCTTTGAAATTCAGTAACTCATTGAGAAACATAGAATATGCCTTCATTTATATAAACCTTTTTGTATTGTTTTAGTGAAGCTTAAAAATTTCATTATGTAATTTTTGCACAATTCTTGTTAGGTTCTGGATATTTTATGGATTTATATTACTATTCTGCATGAAATTGTTACATTTCCTAATTGGATTTTACTAATGTATAGGAAACTAATAATTGCATACACTAATTTTTTTAACCAGACATCTTACCGAACACTGCATATTTTCTAAATATGTGCATATAGTAACTTTTAACTTTTTTCAGCTTTTTTCTGATCTGTAAACCTTTTGTTTTGTTGGCACCTCAAGCGAAGCATTGATGAAGATGCCCAGGGTAGCGTGGATGGTCTCAGCGAGCGCTGAGCACCCTTGCTTCTCCTGTCTTTAAAGGGATAGGTTATAATTTACTTAAGCATAAAATGAACGTATATTTTAGTGATTGTATGTTCACCTCTGCATTTAAGTTATTATGTATAATTTATCTATGACATTACCAGGGATTACATTCTCAACATTTTTTAAAGATTATGGAATACTTGAGTCCTGTTGCCATGTTGCCTTGTAATTTTTTGTTGAAAATCGGACGCGATAATACTGGGTAAAAGGAACCGAGGTGAGTGGGCCTTTATTATGAGGTTTTCTGTTTATCTGGTTAGGGGTAGGCCACACTGTTTGCTGTAGCTATAGGTGTCAGAGGGTAAAATGCCTTCAGTGTCTTTTTTTTTGGTCTTTGGGTTTCCCCAGAAACTTCTTAAGTATTCCCCCAGTGCATGTGGATGTAGGTGGTGGGGGTCGGGGGAGGGGACGCGCTGTGTGTGCTGTGGTTGGTTTCGGTCTTAGTGAGCCAGTGTCCCAGGGCTCTGATGGATGCAAGTACTTCCCAGTTTTGTTTTGGTTTTTACTCTTTAGTTTAGGGGAAAAAGGCTCTAGGGGCTGGAGTTGGGTAGTTCTCTTTCCCTGTGTGGAAGTGTAGCGTGGGCCAGGGTTGGATAATTCTCTTCCCCGGTGCTGGCTCATTTCAGGGAGAACCCCAGTCCATCAGGCTCTGGTGAAACGGTTTCTCTTGGGAGTAGCCTTTATTAAGAAGAACAGAAGGCCCTGGCTTATTTAAAAAATGGCTACCAGTCCCCGCTCTTAGCTGAAAAACACAAGGAGATTTTTCTCTGACCTGCACTTGGAGAACACGATAGAGTTGCTGGAGGCCAGACTCAGGGAAGTGTGGGGTCCCGCCAAGACTGGGCCCCCCGGAGTCGTTAACTCTCAAACTTACCTGCACGAACACTCTGGCAGTCCATCGGTTACAGGTTGGGCTTTCCTCCTCTGGCCCTGGGTATGCTGCAGGCTTCTCCTCCTGGTAATTTGTGCCTTTCTGTATTTGCCTCTCTCTCCAGTTGTGGGGGCAGTGGCTCTCTTTGTGATCTTAGTTCTCCTGTGGAGCTGAGAGTTGTTGGTTTTCACTTTGGTCAACTTTTTCTTCTTATGTGGACAAAAGTGGCACATTCCAAGCTCTTACATGCCAATCAATCTGAAAAAAATGTGGCAAACCAAAAATCATATTGCCACATTTTTAAAAGATTGATTTCTTTTTTATTTATTTACTTTTAGAGAGGAAGGAAGGGAGAAAAAGAGGGAGAGAAACATCAATGTGTGTTTGTCTCTTGCACACGCCCAACTGCGGACCTGAGCCACAGCCTAGGCATGTGCCCAGACTGAGAATCGAACCAGTGACCCTTTGATTCGCAGGCCAGCACTCAGTCCACTGAGCCACACCAGCCAGAGTTAGAAGATTGATTTCTTTACTGTTGGTATTCATAATGTATATAACAAAGTGAATCCTGTTCCAGGATGTGATGTAGGTATACTCATGAATAGCTAAAATAGACAGACATAGATTAGAAATTGAAATATCAGGAGCCTATACATTCTTGGAATTATAAACATGTGACATTGGAAATATGTTTGCTGCTGCACAAAGGATATGCAACTTGAGGTTTTTGCACACATACAATGTGTCAGTATTGTGTTATTGTTCAGTAATGCATATTTGTGTGAAATATTCTGCAGGAATTCCATGGGCATCAGATTTCCTAGTCTCTTGGACTTGCTGAGAAGTATGACACAAAACTTCACAGGGCAGTGTGTTACTGCAGTGGGAGAACAGCTTGTTGTTGGCATATAATGGCCACACTAACAATTATATGCGTGTTTACAGTCTACAGAAACATAGCCTCGCTGTTCCAGTAGGCAGTGTCAGGAGCGCCTTATCTGAAAGCTGCTTGGTCATCTCTAGAGCTTTCGGAAGCATTGACTGGAACCCAGTGCTGCATGCCATCTCTCCCACTCGCTCCTCACCACCCCTGCTCTCGCACATTCCGTGTGTGAAAACGGAACAGCCCAATATTGGGAAGAACCAGACTGCATTTTTTTTTGTGTGTAGTAGCATATAAGAATTAAACTTCTTTTTTCTATTCCTCCATCTTAGCACAGTACAGTATAGAATATAATACAGTTCCAATTCTTCTGCCCTTGGTAGTCCAAACCTTTTTAGTTTTTAGTGTAGTGTAAATGCTATAGTTGTTCTTGTTACGCGTAGCTAAGGTTGTCAGTTTAAAATTGGATGGCACCTTGCAACTTAATTTTTTTTTTAAATGGAAAGATTTGTAAGGTGTTTACAGGACTGAAGTGAATTCTTGACCTGTAGCACTTACTGTTGTGCTTTGGAATACTGGTGGGCTTCTCCCCTCCCCCCAAGCTTTATTGAGGTATAGTTGGTATAGAAAAAAACCCTGCACATAATTAATATATACACTCTGGTGAGTTTGGGCGTATATATGCATACTCATGTTACCATCACTACAGTCAGGGTAAAAAACTTCTGCAGTATCCTCAAAGCCATTGAATATTAATGTACAGCCCCCCTTTTTCAATTCATTTTACATGTCCCCATTTAATGTTTTGCCCTATGGCACCGATAATTTGTAATGCT